GTTATCATTCCTGTTATCATTCCCGTTATCGTTCCCGTTATCGTTCCTGTTATCATTCCTGTTATCATTCCTGTTATCATTCCCGTTATCGTTCCTGTTATCATTCCTGTTATCATTCCTGTTATTATTCCCGTTATCTCGTTATCCCATTATCATTCCCATTACATTCCCTTTATTCCTGTTATCGTTCCCACTATTCTTCACGTTATTTTTCCATTACGCTGCTATTTTCCCATTATCATTCCCGTTATCGTTCCCATTATTGCCATTATTTTCCGTTATTCCCATTATTATTCCCATTATTATTCCCATTATTATTCCCATTATTGTCATTTTCATTCCCGTTACCATTCCCGTTACCATTCCCGTTATCATTCCCGTTATCATTCCCCTTATCATTCCCGTTATCATTTCCATGTTTTTCCCCATTACTTCCCGTTATCATTCCCGTTATCCTGTAACCATTCCTGGTACTCTGTTATTATTCCCGTTACCATTCCCAGTTACCCCCGTTTTTCCCCCATTCTCACTCCCATAATTTCCCCATTCTCATTCCTGTTATTCCTGTTATCCCGTTTTCACTGCCATTATCCTGTTAATGATTCCCATTATCATTCCCATTATCCCGTTATTCTCCCGTTCTCACCCCCGTTATTCCTGTTATCCTGTTCTCACCCCCGTTATCCCATTCCCTCCCCAGTCTGTTGCTGTATGGCAGTGTGGACGTTATCCCGTTCTCACCCCCGATATTTGCCCGTTATCCCGTTATTTTCCTGTTATTTCCACGTTATTCCTCCCCAGCCTGTTGCTGTATGGCAGTGTTATCCCGTTAGCCCATTCTCCCTGCTGTTATTCCTCTGTATTCCCCCGTTTTCACCCCCATTATTCCTCCATTCTCATTCCCATTATCCCGTTCTCATTCCCATTATACCATTACTATTCCCATTATCCCGTTCCCTCCCCAGCCTGTTGCTGTAGGGCAGCATGGCCATTATCCCGTTCTCACCACTGTTACCCTGTTATTCTCCCGTTATTTCCCCGTTATTTCCCCGTTATTCTCTTCCCCAGCCTGTTGCTGTATGGCAGCGTGGCCATTACCCCGTTGCCCCGTTCTCACCCCCGTTATTTCCCTGTTATTCCCGTTAATCCCATTATTCCCATTATCCCGTTATTCCCATTAATCCTATTATCTTGTTATCCGTTATTCCCATTATCCTGTTATTCCTGTTATCCCATTATTCCCATTATTCCCATTAATCCCGTTAATCTGTTGCTGTACAGCAGTGTGGATGCTGGTGCCCCATGCCTACGCTGCTGCCGCCTGCCGGGTTTATCCCATTATCCCGTTATTCCCATTATCCCGTTATTCCCGTTATCCTGTTATTCCTGTTACCCCATTCTCAATCCCGTTAATCCCATTATTCCTGTTTTCTCCCAGCCTGTTGCTGTACAGCAGCGTGGATGTTGGTGCCCCATGCCTACGCTGCTGCCGCCTGCTGGGGTTATCCCATTATTCCCATTAATCCCATTATTCCCATTTATCCCGTTATTCCCGTTATCCCGTTATTTTCTCCCAGCCTGTTGCTGTACGGCAGTGTGGATGCCGGTGCCCCGTGCCTGTGCTGCTGCCGCCTGCCAGGGTTATCCTGTTATTCCCATTATCCCGTTATTCTCATTATCCCGTTATTCCCATTGTCCCGTTATTCCCATTATCCCGTTATTCCTGTTATCCCATTATTCCTGTTATCCCGTTATTCCCGTTATCCCGTTATTCCCGTTAATCCCGTTGTTCCCGTTTTCTTCCAGCCTGTTGCTGTACGGCAGTGTGGATGCCGGTGCCCCGTGCCTGCCCTGCTGCTGCCTGCCAGGGTTATCCCGTTGTTCCCATTATCCCATTATTGCTGTTATCCCGTTATCACGTTATTCCCGTTATTCCCGTTATTTTCCCCCAGCCTGTTGCTGTACGGCAGCGTGGATGCTGCTGCCCCGTGCCTGCGCTGCTGCCGCCTGCTGGGGTTATCCCGTTATTCCCGTTATCCCGTTATTCCCGTTATCCCGTTATTCCCGTTAATCCCGTTGTTCCCGTTATCTCTCCTAGCCTGTTGCTGTATGGCAGTGTGGATGCCGGTGCCCCGTGCCTGCGCTGCTGCCGCCTGCCAGGGTTATCCCATTATTCCCATTATCCCGTTATTCCCGTTAATCCCGTTATTCCCATTTTCTCCTAGCCTGTTGCTGTACGGCAGTGTGGATGCCGGTGCCCCGTGCCTGCGCTGCTGCCGCC